CCAGATTGAAGATAGCTAAACTTGCAAGCCAAGATTCCAAAAGGAAAAACTTAGCTCATGTTTTTCCTTTGCATGGTGATTTTTCATTCCCTCCTTTTTTTTTTTTTTTTTTTTAAATAAAAGGGAATCCCCATGTTTACAAGTTGAAATCCAAAATGCACAAGTGGTCAGTTCCCAATTCAGTGACCCATGAACATCTGTGGGCCTGGGTGTTCCTTGAGAATCTTCAGTGGTGGGAGCAGTGAGCCTCGCCTGCCGCAGGCAGGAGGAAATTCTCCAGTGAGTCAAACAGTCGGGAGCCAGGAGGCCTGCGAGGCTCCAGCTCTGCCTCTCTTCCCGGGTCCTGCTCCGGGGGGGGACATGTCTGCACTCGACTTCAACTAGTTTTCTGAACTGCATTTGGACTATATTTTTTGAGGTGGATTCATCAGAAACTCCTTATAGGAAGTAGAATAGGAATCTTCATTTTGCCTTTAAGAGAAATAAAACACTATCATCTGTTTTCCAAGAAACAGAAGGCTCTCTGTGTCCCTTCAGTGCACAGAAAAATCTAGAATAAAGTATTTATTTGGCATCTGCTTCTGAGGACTTCAGTGACTCAAAACCGCCAGGGCCTCCCTCGTAGGAAGGGGCCGAGTTCCACAGTTCCAGCTCCCAGGGAGTCCGCAGCAGGGTGGCTCCCACGTGGCAGGTGGCAGTGGGCGTGGTGAGTGTGTCATCATCTCCGTTCTGGATATGGGTTGGCAGATGGACTTTTCACATCATTTTAAAAGTTTTGTTTGGTAGATGCTCAAAAGTTATGTGAAGCCTCTATGGGAAAAGGCTAGCATGTGATAGATTTGTATCTCCTCTTTGGACCTTGGCTTCCTTGTCAATAAAATGAGGGAATGGACCAGACCATGGCTACTGGGCCCCACGGCAGCTCAATGAGTCTGCCGTGTGAAGCTCGCTTCCCTCCTAGCTGGACTTTGGTTCCTCTGCTCTAACTTTTCTGCTGTAATCTGGGTGTTAGGGGCTGAATCGTATGTCTCCAAAATTCATACTAGAATACCTGGCTGTACTTTGAGTTGGGGCCCCTAACAAGGCACGCAAGTTAAAAGGAGATCATTAGCATGAGCGCTAATCCAGTGTGATTGGGGTCCTTAGGAGAGACCAGAGCACAGACATGCACATGAGGACACAGGGGTGAGGGGATGAGGCAGCCATCTGTAAGCCAAGGGGAAGCCCCAGAGAAGCCAGCCTTGCTGGTAACTTCATCTCAAACTTCTAGCCTCCAGGACTGGGGCACAATACATTTCTCTTGTGTAAGGTGTCCAGCCCGCCGTACTTTGTCACGGCAGCACCAGCACACGAACACATGGAGTCATACCACATTGCTTTCCCGAGCTAAGAGAAAAGGTCCGTGTATTTTCTGGATAGACTGTTATTTTTGGTCTTTGCCTAACAGGATTTTCTGTAGTAGGACATGAAAAATATTTTTGCTTGTTTGTTTAGTTTTTATAGGTTTCTTTACCATCCCATGTGAAGTCAATTATTTTAGTGAAATACATCCTCTTTATGTTTACTTGAAAGGAATTTCCTAATTTTGATCCACAAGGCTAATTTTACTGAATGGCCATCAAATGTCATTCTGCCTTTAAAGAAATACTGTCATTATCCATAACGTCCGGGGAAAGCCACACAGCTCATTGGACAAACCTGCAGGTGATGAGACATTTATAAAGAACTTCAGCCCAAACAAGCGACCCCCACAGGACCGTGGTCCAGTTTTTATTTAGTACTTGGGGCTTTCATGCTCATTCAGAGCCCACTGTCATTTGATTGGATCAGAGGAGAACAAATTAAAGCACAGGGTCAGGAACTGTCAGCCGCTATTTCAGATTCTCAGGGTCTTACTTGGAAGGCAGCACGTGTTTGGAAAGCAGTGCCCAACACGCCCCAAGTTTCTCTTTGTTAGTTCCACCTGACCGCAGCAGTGAGATCTCCCAGGGAGGGCTCTTCTGCATCAAGGCCACTCACTGAGAGGTTAGAATGGTCTGGCTCCTGAGGCTCCACTCCTCTGAGGAGGAGATCAGCTTACACATGAGAGACCAGGCCTCGCCTTTCCTCCCCCTGTTACTGGGGGCAGGCCCTGGGGCACGGCTGTCAGAGATGGGCGATTCAGATGCAGCACCCGACACCAAATTAACCAGTGCAAACAGCAGTCAAGCCAGTTGTTCAGTATTTTATATACACAACTACATAAGCGAATGGCTAGTTCATTTTCTTTCTTGCAGTCAGCTCTTTTGCTGTTATACGTGTATAATAATGAAAGTTGATAGGTCTCTAAAAATATACCTTTTCAAGATCACATTTTGAGGAAAAAATGTGGCCAACTAAGAAAGTGAGGGTGCTGTGATTTCCAGCAGGCACTCTGATTCCCAGCTATCAACAGAATGGGGGAAAAAAATTCAACTTATTTATATTCATTTATTTATATGGGGAATGAATAAGTTCAGGAACACTTCATCTCAAACACAGATTGCTTTTATTTTAGCTAAGCTAATGTTTCAGTTCCATATATATTTTTGAATTTCCATCAATGTCAAACACTTTTTTCTCTGTTCTTTAAAAAAAAAAAAAAAGATTTACAAGCACTTTTACAGCACTCCAGGAAAGTAGGCTGAAGGTTCATAATAATAATTTTCCTTTTAAAAAACATCCATCAGACCAAAATAAAATCATTTTAATTAACTCCTTCCTGAGTAACTAAAACCTTGGAATGTGCTGAAAGGTTATAATAAATAAGGCAGTCAAAGATCAACTAGCTTAAAAGGTATTTTTTAAATTAAACTATGTAAAATGTACAATATATTTCATGAAGTACAAACTGTGTTGGGCCCAGAGCCAAAAAAACGTTGTCATGTGTGTGAAATGAATTGATGAAGGGCCTTGACTTTCAGGACCGAGAGGCTGTTTGGGGACCAAACATCATTAAGGCCCTGCAAGTGAGTCCGTCAGCATCTTCTGTTGGGAGATTATAATGGTCACTGCTGAAACCAAACGCCTTTGAACTTACCAGTAGAAGTGCCCATGTGAACTTGCAGTAAGGGGGTGACTTTTTCAAAAGACCAATTGTCCTGTTCTGACAGCAGCAGAGAAAACAGCCAACTCCACTTTATTTTCAGACTGTGAGCTTGCACAGCATGTAAACGGATCATCACTCTCTATACATAATTTCATAGAAATGACTCACAGTGGACCAGGCAGCAGTTCTTGTTCTTGTTCTGACTGTGATAAGCTGTTCTCCAGGTTACTTTTGAAAGTATGCCTAATGGGAGGGCCCTGGTCTCTCTGGACAAGACAAAGGATATTTCCTCCTCTAAGAACACTGACCTTAATCACTTCCCTGCCCCAGTCCTCTGGGGCAAAAAGGAGGTCCCCGTGTGGCCAAGTGGTAGACTCTGCCTCTGGCGTCCCCACCTTCACTGGACTCCTGTGGGCTGGACCCTTCTTAATACAAACATCTCAGGATAAAGTAGCTTTAGAACATGGTTGGCAGGTTCCAAGTGGCTGGCTTTGTATCTTGGGTAATGTCCAATTTTAGGGAAGGAAGAAAAAATGCTAGAGAGACTTGTTAGTTTCTGAAAAGTAAAAAGTGTGTAACTTGTAAAGCTGGAGTCTTATTTAAAGCATTTCCTTCAAGTGCTCTTGAAGGGCTGGCTCTAGGGCAAAATATGAACTGGGCAAAATATGAACTAGACAATATCTGTCGCAAGTATCCTTCCTGCCAACGCCACAGCACCCCGCTTCCCAGCCAGCTGCGTAGGATCTGCCCAGGAGAATGTGCATTTTCAGGACATTTTAAGGAGAAAACATCTCAGAATCCATAGGAATGCATTTCTAATGACTGGACCAAAGCATATTGATAGGTGGCAGGGGGCCAGGGGGTGGGAGGTGGAGATACTTCAGAGGAATGGAATGGCTCAATTTACACATGGCAGCCACCTACTCACAAAGCTGGCCAAGCATCTCTTAGCCAGAAGAGACGCTTCTTGGGTTTTGACGCCCCTTGTGAGGATTCTCTGGAGTGAGCATGTTCTGTAAGAAATGGGTTTCTAGTTCTGCTCCCTGCACAGAACTCAGGACCTTTTTAAAACTAAAAACAGAGTATCTCTCAGGTGACAAGAAGGTATTGCAGCACACCCTACTGGGTTCTAAGCCACCAGAGCTGGCCAGGGATGTGTCTGATGAATTATGTATAGTCTATGGTCAGGCTTTGATGCTAGACTAAATTGGTTCCTGGGATTTACATTTAAATCAGTGTTAGGGAGAAGGATGTTTCATACTGATGCAAAGGAAATAAGCATGATTCCTGATGCCACATGACCTGCAGATTTCATTCGTCTAACCTACATTCTTTACACAGCAAATGAATTCTGTTCCTTGCTATGCTACTATGATATGCCCCAGCATGGAGCTTGGAAGTGCAGTGTCTCAGTGGAGTCTGCCATGCACTTTGACCTTGAAAGGTAACTCCAGGTCTGAATTGGTAGGTGACGTGGCACAAGCCAACTTGCTCTTTCAGAGAGAAGTATGCTACTCTTGGTGAAAGTGTCCCCTGAGATGGACCAGAGGCAGAATTCTACCCATGTGGGCAGAAGCCACTTAACCAGGGACCTCCTCCCTTTTGGTGTTCTAATCTGTCTTACCTTCTCCTCTCAGATCCTTCCAGAGCAGATTCCCCGGTCTCTGAAGTGGTTTTGTATTTCTACCCAAATATACCAGTCTGGATGTCGCCTACCACTGAGGTAATATTTTTGTAAGTCATTTTATCAATGATAAGTTATTAGGCTATGGACTATATATCTCTCCTTTCTCTCATCCTAGGGGGAAGGGGGGAAGCTGTTTTATGATGAGATGCCTTGTGATTTATCTGGGAAGGACCCAAGGAGCCAAGCAAAAAACACAGAATAAAATTAAACACATAAAACCCGCAAAATCGGGCGTCTCCCAATGACCCCCAACATGTGGGAATGTTTTGCTCTTTTAATGCACCCAAGCATTAATTTAGTCCCTTAAGGATTTTTCTTCCCCAAACAAAGAATTTTCTGGAAAAGGGAGATAAGAGCCATGGAGGCCACACAGTGCTGGCATCACCTCTTATAAATATCTTCCAGCCACTTTTCATCATCTTGTTCCTCATCATCGATTGGCTCCTCGGTTTCCAGTGGCGTTGGGATAAAGAAGTGTGGCCTCGGGGGGGCCTTGCCCACGGGAGACTTCAGTCCAAACTTGCGCTTTAGCCGGTGGAACTGCTCTCTGATGTAGTGGTAGAATTCGTACTCGTATCTCATCCGCTGGTAGAGGATCTGCACGGCCTCAGGAGAGGGGACAGTCTTCTTCACTGTCACAGTCATGTTTCCGAGTTTCCTATGTTCTGCAAAAGAACCGGGTCTCGCGTGAGCCAGGGTTTGCAAAGCTTTAGCTTAGGAGGATTCCCGGCCAGCATTTGTATTTCCCTCCCCATATTAGCAGCACCTAATTCTACGTATTAGAAGGGAAAAAAGTGCTCCCGACAAAGATTTCCCAATATTCTGGCTGTTAATATCAACATGAATTGACTAAACGTAAACTATCTGATTTCCTTTTCATGCGACTTGTAATTCAATTATTAACCGTAAGCTATGTATTGTTTCCAACAGCAAAATCGACTTGTTTTTTTCTCTTTTATTTCCTGTTACATAAGTCAAGGGCTTTACCTTCAGGAGGCATACAAGAGCTGTCTCACCACTTTATGGTTTTTTTTTTTTTTTTGCAGTTTTTGGCCAGGGCTGGGTTTGAACCCACCGACTCTGGCATATGGGGCCAGCGCCCTACTCCTTTGAGCCACAGATGCCGCCTGGTGTCTCTCCACTTTCTAATTGCTTTGTGTTTTTTTTTTTTTTTTAATTTTAAAATATGGATATAAACTTTGATACAAAATCCATTTCCATTTCACTATTTCACAATACATTTGTCCAGAAAAGTAAAGGAAGTATGATTAGAGCTCTTAAAAAATCTTATAAAAGATGAATAAGAAACAAAATGGTTTAATTTAAACATTGAGAGGCAGGAGAAAAAGAATCCAACCGCCTCTCGAAGCACTCTAAATTATGTAGGGCTCTGTTACCTCCTACAAAGAAAACCAGACTTTCTGTGATTTTAAAACAAATGCATCAATTCAATTATCTGGCTCAACCTAATCCAAAAAGAATCTTAAAGAATTTTGTGAAAAAATACATGCTACCATCAGCTAAACAGTTCAGAGGACTGGGCGAAGAGAGAAGGAGGGAAGGATAAAGAGAAAGGTGAGTGTTGGGGTAATTGTTTCCCTTCCCCACGCGGAAGCGTCTCCCCAGAGCGGTGCTCTGGCCACTTGCCCCAGCCCCTCTTCTGGGGAGGCCGGCCAAGAACCAGGACAAGAGGCTTTCCCCTGACTGTGCTTTTGGGCAAAGAGGCTGAGATGGTCAGCCCTCTAGGACCATTGTGCAGGTCTGCAGTGACCTCACACCCTCCGTAGGGAAGGACAGGCCAAGTCTGTCTAATTCAGGAGGGTGTGTTGTCACTCTGGTTCTCCTACTTGGCCTCATTTGGTCATAAGCTCCATCTGTCTGTCTCTTGTCTACTTCTCAATTGGTTTGAAACCCAGGCAAAGGGAAAGTGGGCGTTATTTACCAGCCTCTCCAACCCCTGTGGTGAGTAACACAAACCACATGCTGTGAAGTCCTAAGGACCCGTGCAGGACAGGACGTGGGTGGGTCGTGGGTTGGGTCGGAGAGTTTGCCTCTCGACTTTCTGGCAGCTAACAAAGACTTAACATATCACATTGCTGTTAATTTTGAAATAATCTATTAACAAGTATTCCTCGTTATGAACCCACAGAGAAGTATCTTCCATCAATTTTCACAAGAAAAAATTGTAATGGAATTAGCAACATTTTCATTACATCCTTGAGTAAATTCAGCCATGAGTTTCAAGAGTGAGAAAGGAAAATGGAACATTCTTGGCTCTCTGCTCATCTGGCCTAGTCTGGGAATACACTTGAGAACATTTAGAGGAGAGGATCTTAACCACTAAGAAGAGCCAACCAAAGCTCATGCTCAGGAACGCTTCTGGAAGCCCATATGTGAATATTTTAGGTTTTTATGGGTATGTTAGGAATCCTTGATTTTGAGAAATCAATAAACAACATTTCTTCAACCTTTTACATACCTTGTTTATTCAGGTAAGTATTAGCCCCCAGCTAATGAATAAATACGGGAGTTGGTTCCTTTATGGGCCAGCCAGGTAAGTTATAAACATTACAACACAAAGGGAGAAGGACTTGGAATTACATCTTACGAAAGGGAAAGGGCCTACGAGCTGACCACCCCAGCTGGAGAAGGACCAGCAGGGTGAGTGCAGAGGAGCCCCGACCTTTGTAAAGAGGTAATCTGGGTATCTGTTCTATTGCAAGCCTTCAAAACTCTTTGTCTTAAAGTTTGAAACAGTTATTTCTTAAAAACAATGTACAGCAAGTGTAATCAGATAAATACCCTGACCACAAAACCCTCCAAGAAAGACCCATCAAATTTTTAACCTAGAGCAAGGTAACTTCCTTGATTAATCATCAAGATACATTGGTTGCAAAATGCTAGTCTACATCAGTGTTTTTCAACTTGTTTTTAATCTCACAGCACACTTGAACCTACAGTTAAATGTCCATGACACACTTACATTATGCTGATCAAAAAAATAATAATAATATGCTTACTGTGTTTTGAACTTCTTTTGAAAATAATTTAATTAATGATCTTTAAACATTTTCCTGGCACACCTAAGATCCTCTCCTGGCAACCCAGTGTGCTGCGGCACAGTGGTTGAAAATCACTGATCTAGATGGTGGACTGAGTTGACTTGTTGCAAAGGGTTACTATAATATATGTTTAAGCCAGAAAAACTTTGGGAGGATTTTTAAGAAGTTACAGCATGATGGGTTCATACATTTCCCTCTTTGATTATGATGAGGCGATTGGGTCAATTGCTATAAAACCATCCCTACTTAGTTCATGACAATAAAACTGTGAGTTTTTCTGTATGACTGTGGGGGGGGAGTTGAAGGACGGGCAGAATATGTAACCAACTCTGTCAAAAGTGATATTACATCCTTCAAATACTAGTGAAAAGAACCAGGACATATTTACACGGTTAGTTAACCAACACGTCTAGAGATGATTGTCCCAGCTCAGCCTGAGTCTTTGTGGATATTTTTATAGTGACGGCCACATTTAGTGAGGACTAAGTGCAGCAACTTATGCATTTTATCCTCACAATAGCCCCTTGATGGAAGAGGGGCTTGCCATCCTATAGATGAGCAAGGTGAGGATGAACAAGACTAGGACTTGTTCAAGGTCATGTAGCCAGAAAGCAGCAGAGGCAGAAGGTCCCACCTGGTGAAGGCCCATCAGTGACCTTCTGCTCTCCCTCACAACTTTCCCCAGAATGGGGCAGAACATGATGGTCAACAGCTAGAGCCAGTGACTCCTCAGGTTGACCGGGACCCAGACTTAGATCTTACAGGAAACAGGCAGGTATTTTAGAGAGAATGGCTAAGTGGTTTACAATTTAAAGGAAGACAAGGGTTGATTAAAAAAAAAATTGAACTAGACAATCTCTGGGTCTAGTGAAGATAGCCAAGACCCACCTAGTCAATGGTGAAAACCATCTCAATATTAACCATCCTTTGGACAGTTTCTCAGTTCTGCTCATAGGTGAAATCGTACCCTGGGTGCTTCATGTAGCTTGAACTCATAATTATGTATTTCTAGTAGGAAACATCATTCTATCCCAGTTAGAAATCTATCCGTGGAGGTTGGAGAAAGACAGCTTCATCATGACGACCAGCATTAGGAATTCCAGAGTCTGCCATCACGGCTCTTCGATTCACATTCCCTTTCATGGATATATTCTATCCAAATTTTATAGGGTGATGAAAGATCTTTAATAAGATTTATATTTCATAAGATACTAAGTGGCCTTTCCAACCAAATTTTAATGATGCCTCACCTCACCATCCTGGTGTAACGTTTCAGCTATTTGATGGCGCTACTCAGAGCACTAACTGAGGCTGAGCCCTGTGTTTGCTAGAAAACTCTACAGACAGGACAGACTTGTAAGGCAAGAGGGAAAAGGGAATTTTTTGGTTTTGGCTACAAGGCAGGAGCTTTAAAAGATCCTTCTCTGGATAGTTAAGGGGTTCAGAGGAGGCTACCCCTTACCAAATGGCACCCCGTGTGCTGATTATTTTAAATTAAAGGCTACTGTAGATCAGCAGATGCTGGATGAGGCTGTTCTCTGAAGTTCCTTTATCTACCTAGAGTCCTAGAGTTGAGTTCCTATGAGGAACACAATTACATCCAATCCTCTCCTCTGAAATTTCATTAACCAGAGAAGATCAGTATCACAGGGGAAGAGACTGAAAATTAAACCCCACACCTGGAGCCCGGACAAACTTGGTCCCAAACTGTTCATTGGTCCCATTCAGTTTCCAAAGAGAATTATTTAGCTTTTTACCACTGTGTGTGCACTGGGCCCATTCATTCCTCTTAAAAATCATTTACTACCCTTCAAAACCACCACATTTACCCTGATCTCTCCTTCCCCTAATAAGAAGGGTACGGAAGTATCTGGACCTCACTGGGTGATGGGGCCATCATTCTCCTATGTCGCCTGTGCTCATCCATGTTAATTGAATGTGCATGGCTTTTTCTCCTATTACTCTGCCTACTCTCAGTTCATTTTCAAGGACCCTTCAGAGGGCAGAGGGGAAGCTATCCCCTTTGGCCTTGCAACTGCCCCAGACTGCCAAGTGCATTTGAGTTCTTGCAGTCCTCCTCACTCTTTTCAGCCCCCTCTCTGTATCCTGTCTAACACGAGGGACGTGTTGGCTGCATCAGAGGGTTCTCGTGAGTGCTAACTTCTTCCTTTTCCTAAGCTCTGGGTTTACATTGATATCCAATTCTTGCTTCATCCATCTCTGTCCTCTCTCTCTCTTTCCCTCACGCACCCTCTCTTCTTTATGGTCAACCTCCCCCCTTCTCATCAAAACTCACATGTGCTCAAGTCTTTCCCTTCTTCAACAAAACTCTTGAGTTGTCTACGTCTGTTGTTAGCACATTTTCAACTTATATACATGACCAAACTCATCAAAGCCTGGTTTCTGTCCCTGGATACTCCATTCAAATTACCCTTGCTTCCTTGTTGATAACTCAGCGGGCACCTCTCAACCAAAACACTGTCGGCCACACACTCCATCCTCAACCCTCTTCTCCTTGGCATCTGGGACAGGGTTTCTGTCCATCTTCCCCTCACTCTGATTGTTCCCTTTCCATTCTCTCTGTGCTCTCCTCTTTCCCAGCC